CACTGAGTTTCAGGCCAAACTGTCCCATTGATTAGGCAGCAGAGGGCTGGTTTAGTCCAGTTTCCTTCCTTCCCATGGCCCTGCGCTGGTGACAGCCCCAGGCGGGGCTGTGATTCCCAGAGTGGCATGTGCCAGGGCTTGCTTGTGCTTCCAGTGGAGCTGGGCCGGGCCCTGGGAGTTCAGCCTCAGGGGAGGCTGGGGGAGGGGCCGGGGTTTCCCTTGTCTGTTGCTCCCTGTGCCAGGTCTTGCTTGTGCTTCCAGTGGAGCTGGGCCGGGCCCTGGGAGTTCAGCCTCAGGGGAGGCTGGGGAAGGGTCTGGGTTTTCCCTTGTCTGTTGCTCCGCATGATCCCCAGCTGTGGTTACCCCACAACTTGGGTCCCGTGGGATGGGAGCCTGGAGATGGAGACCCATGTGGTTTCCCCACCATCACTGATGCGCCGTGTGGTTTCTTACTGTCCCAGGAAAGGACGGTGAGGTCCTTCCCCTGAGTAGCATGCCTGAGCACCTTGTGCAGCTCAAGAGCAAGGTAGGGCTGAGCTGGGGGTGGTGGTCCACCATGGCCACCCCTCTGCCCTCCCTCTGACAGCTGAGCCTGTGTGCCAAGCTGCAGGGATCTCACAGACCTGTTTGGCCCCTTTTCACTTCCAGGGTCCGGAGCACATCTACTGCAGCTGCGTCTCGCCCTGTGGCAGGTGGGTCACCTAAGCCACAGCCTCCCGCTTCCACCTCTACCGGGTGCACTATGAAGGTGATGGTGTCAGAATTGAGAAGGTGAGGAGGGCGATGGACCACCCTGCTGCGGGGAGGGGTTGTGGATGGCTGTGGGGTTGAGGGGCTGGCATGGCCAGTGTTGATCACAGGAGTGAGGGTGGCAGTGGTAGGTGGCTGCCAGTGCTGCTTTCTTCCCACCTCAAGATCCCCAAAGTGCCCAAGGTGCTGCTCCCAGCCTACCAGCTCCAGTTCTCCTCTGACTCCAGCAGCCTCTTCGTTGCTTCTGCTCGAGGTTCCGTCCATGTCCTCCAGCTCCTAGAGCCAGGGGGCTGCAGACACCTGCACACACTTCAGCCACCATCAGGTTTGGGTCGGGGGGAACTGGTGGGGTTGGGAAGTGCTGGGGTTCCCTGGGCTCTGTGTCCCTCCCTGCTGTGGGTGCAGGGCTGAGGGCATTTCTCCTTTCCTGCTCTGGGGTGCATGGGTCCTTCCCTTCTCTGCCCTTTGTGCTGCTCTGTAGCTAGGGAGCAGGGTGCAGATCAGCAGAGGGAAGACATGGGTCTGGAGTCCCCTGGGGTAGGTCTGGGGCTCTTTGCAGTCCCAAGCACCACTTTATGTCTGGTGTTGGTGCTTCCACAGGGTGCTCTGAGGCTGTTTACCTGCTGGCCCTGAGCGCAGATGGGCGCTGGCTGGCCGCAGTCAGCGGGGACTGGGCAATCCATGTCTACAAGCTGAAACGCTTAAAGGTAGGAGCAGGAGCTGGAGGGTGGCTGCAGGAGCGGCCCCACTGCCTCCTGCCTTGTGGGTCCAGGTGATGGTGGGCTCAGTGTGTAGGTCCCGTCTCCAGCAGGGGGATGGCTTTATTCATTATCGATGGAAGAGTGCTGGCGGGGGTGTGTGTGTGATGGGGTGTTGGAGGCAGTCATGGTTGTTCCCATCAGTGTACTGTCCTCCTGCCTTGCAGCATCACTGCACGGTGCCCATGTACAGCTGTGCGGTGACAGCTCTCGCCATCCACCCCGTCACCAACAACCTTGTTATTGCCTACTCGGACCAGCAGGTAGGAGCTGTCACAGTCACAGTCCTCATGGCCCCAGTCCCTTCCATGTGGCTCTCCCTGGCCTTGAGGCTCTCTGGTCCCAT